TCTAGTCCTAAAACAAACTTGGAACTTTATTTAAATGCTTCCAGGAATTCGCTTATTCAAAGACCAAATGGCAACTGATATGACGGAAGCAAAGGCTCTAATGTTTAACCGCGACTACATTGATATATACTCCAACAGCTGGGGGCCTGATGATAGAGGTTTTCTAGTAAAAGGACCAGGCAGGGCAACTCAAGCCACACTTGAGGAAGGAGCGAAAGAGGCAAGATGACACTATGCTTTGTTCGTCTTATGATAGAGAGCTTTTAAGCGCCACGTTTACGGCAAACGGCAAGCGGTTGCTTTCCGTTTGCCATCGAGAATCACTGCGTCTTGTCCTAAAGCTCGACGTATTAATATATCTCAGTTACAGTGTTCATAGAAAGTCGGTTTTCTTTTGTCAACAGTCCTTTTATGGGAAACGTTGTATTGAAGCTTACAGTTGTACGATCCCTTAATATGAATGCGACAGCTAACAATAAATAAATAAATAAATAAATAAATAAATAAATAAATAAATAAATAAATAAATAAATAAGATTTTACCGACGTTTTAAGTCAACTCTTCATGGCAAACGACAAACGGCGAAGGTGAAAAATGGCAAAGAAAATTCAGTTTATCACGTATCTATCGCCGCCATTTGTCGTCGTTGACTTAAACCTGGTGCTTAACCTCTACAAATTATACTCAACTTAAGTTACCTTAAACTTTTACACAATCTTTTCACTTCTTTACGAGCACATTTTGAGTAATACGCTTGTGTTGCACTGAGTCGAGCGTTTTACACTAAAGTGACATCACTATGGTATTTACCGCCGATAAATGTGCATTATTCTCTAGGGACGTAAAAAAAGAGGATCAATATTTGTGTTTGCGGCTGGTAACGGTGGAATATTAGCAAAAGACAGCTGTGCGTACAATGGATATGTCAACAGTATTTACACTATTGCTATCTCGAGTGTCAATAGAGATGGATCAGTGCCTTATTATTGAGAACGCTGCCCTGGCATAATGGCGGTTGCTTATAGCAGAGACTCATTTGGAGATAAAAACCCCGTGGTAAGTGAGTCAGGATTTCAATCTTGGGACAAACACAACTCTTTGACGTATGGCAGAACTACTGTAGATTTAATTTCGGTTGCGGTTCTTTAACAAATCCAACTTCTTGAATTTGTTTGTTCTTTTGAACGAGAGTTTTGAAGACAAAAACGCTCATTTTCTATTGCCGTAAATGAAATTATTACATGGCTAAGTCTGTTTTTGCCCTGTGATTCTTCAGATGGTCTATAACTGTAGCTATGCGTACCAAAATGTCAAAAGCAAATACTTATTTTGCAGCTCGAAATCTGTTTTATCTCCAAAATAAGATTGAAAGTATTAGTGTCTGTAAACCCTAAGGTCTAGGGTGTTAACTTCGGTTTTTCAAATGTTAATACGCGTTTATTTGCGAGCGAAGCGGACGTAGAAACTGAATCGTTATTTTACCAAAGAAGAGGATTCCAGTCTAGTCAAAAATCGCAAGACACAGTTAAGAAGACAACACTGGACTGGCAGAGATCCGAGATGCTTTGCTAGAGAAAAACGAGCGGTTCCTTCGACTAACAAACGTACCTGCACCTGATCTTGACTAGCTTTTTAGTCACCAGGTGCCCGTTTCTCGAAAACCCCGATAATTAACGGGCGCGTAAAGCTGTTGTTGTTTACATGCAAGATAGAGGTTTCAATAGTTTTGCATCTAACATGACAAAACTATCAGTTAATGAAACAAACTGGAGTAGTTTGCTAGCCAGGATCCGCGCCCTTATGCTCTATATCTCGAATAAATATTTGATTTCGGGCCCGAAAAGTTACCGGGACTTTCGAGAAACGGGCCCCAGTAGCTTTTTTTGCAAAGAGCAACGAAAGAGAGATGGAAGCAATTTGGAGCCAGACACAGTGTTTAGTTTTCAAAAGACTCCAACGTCATGTAAGCTAGCTAAAAACTTACAGTGTTCTTAGTTTTGACTGGATAAATTTTTTCAACCTGGTGCTTTTGCACTTTGATTTACTTTTAAAGCCTTCAGTTTGTGCTATTGTTTTCTTGAGCCAATGAAAACTTTCACTTTCTGATGCCTGTCAAATAACTGCCTAAGCGCTTGACCTGCACTTTCTATCCGGTCCCTTGAACAGGACGCGATATAATACATATCTTGTTACTAAGCGTTAGTAATAAGATATCTATTATATCGCGTGTTGTAAGCCTTGTTTTTTTTTTGGTCCATACTGTAAATTACGCACCGTCGTTTTTTTTTTGTTAAAGGACCGAGTTTTCTTTCTTTTTTATTTTCTCCCATCGATTTTTATGGCCTGCGCCCTTCCCGCTTGGGCCATAAATCGATGGGCAAAAAAAAAGAAAAGAAAGAAAACTCGGTCCTTGAGTTACAGTACAGATCTCAAAGTCGGCTAACAAGAGGTATTAATGGCACTTCGTTGTTAATAATAATTCGTTGCAGGTTACCGCTGGTCAGAATGGAAAATGTGCATACTATTTTGGTGGAAGCTCTGCCGCGAATGCAATGGCGTCAGGATTGATCGCACTCGCCCTTGAGGCCAAGTACGACTAAGTGTATAAACGGATTATTTCAAAAGTAGCAAAGATAACAACCGGTAATAGGAAGCTTAAGCAACCACGAGGAAGACGGCACTTAAAACGTCAATAAAAAAAATACTCGTGTTCTTTTTACAAAATTTCATCGCGGTTATTTAGCCTCTCTCAATTTGCCAAATGTATGGGAACTTTCTTGAAACTGAACCCTAAAACACTATATTGAACTTCAAAATAGCAATGAAAGCTCCACGTCTAGTATTCATGTCTTCCATAAAACCGTCACATTAAGTAGGAAGTTACTCAGTGGACGCGCTGTGGAAGTGAAAGAAATACAACAAAAAGCTAAGCATCATGAACGTGCAGAGTTGTCTTGCTCATAATTTTTCTTTGACTTCCTTACTGCCATCTTCGTAGTGGCTGCTCAAGATCCCTAATTAGGCCCGGTTCAGACGCCCCACTTCACATGAGCCTAACTGAATTGAATGTTACTGATATGGGGAACGGGGAGCGGGGAACGAGTACGGGAAGGAACGGGGAAATTAAAAATTGGAACAAATCCTAACTTGAACCCTAGCCCTATCAGGAACTTCATTTCCAATTCCCGCAATTTATTCCCACTTTTCATTTTCCCGTTCTCGTTCCCTGCTCATTTTTCCTCGTTTTAGTCACATGCAACTGAATTCAATGAATTAAGTTTATGTGAACTACGGCATCTGAATCAATTCAGCCGGCTCTTAAATTAGTTTAAGTCTGACTAAATTCAAATTCCATTCGGGTCTAACGAGGTACGGCGTATGAACCGGGGCCTAACAGTCCAGTTTCGAGTAAAACATGGACCCTGAATGAAAGCAGCAAAGACGCATGTTTACATGTTTATATGGCCAAAACAAGCCCGAGTAGAAGGGTCACCCTCCAAGCCGAGTCAACGTTAGCGAACCTTTATCTGAGAAAAAGGTTGATTCCTTTGCTCGAACGAACAGCGCTCGCGCATGACTGTCTCACCTTGATTGAGTTGTTCCGGCTTGGTGAGCCAAGGTTTTTGTATGGAGAAGAGTTGGCGCGGCTGCGAGGGTGATGACCTTAACATCACAAAAGAGTGACCCGGCTGGGCGGGCTCGCCCAGGGTAGCTTGGCCAGGCAGGTGACCCTTGACAATAAACTGGGCCTTAGCCTCAATCTCGAGTAAATATAGGTACGTTTAAATAAGTAGACCTTGTTTTTTATGCGTGTGAGTCGAACTAAAGCTCGGCGAGACACATCCGCACCGGACGCCTTTATAATGAAGTGGATTCTGTCTTTCACAGGATTCTTTCAAGGTAAAATTATTAGGATAATGCTGCCTATTAGATACCGAGCAACAATGGAAAATGTAAAAAAATTAACGCAAGTATTCATGCGCCCTTAGTTAAAGCAGTGATTTTTTTTTGTTTCAGTAAAAAATTGACGTGGCGCGACGTTCAACACATCATTGTTAGAAGTTTAAGGTTTGCTGGAAGGAATCCGCCTGATATGGTTGAAAATGGCGCTGGGCTGAAAGGTTAGAGGAAACAAAAGAATTAACAAATTTATTAGTGAATGTGGCTGACTGTTTGCCGCGTTTCTTAATATCACAACATCCTTTTGTTCTTTCTTATGTCCTTAATAATCCCTAAAGAAACTATTTTCCTTCAAACTGGCCTTAACAATTAAGAAAAGCTAACGGTTCAAATGTAATTTTTACCTTTTGGTGGATTTAAGGACTTTCTCATTTCATGGTAGATTGAATGGAACGAAGGAGGGATTTTTTTATTCATCAAAACACAGTTATAGAATAACATTTTTCAGTGCTTTTTTGATTCCGTCTGTTTTTAAAATGCTCCCGATCTAGTAAAGTTAGTGAGTGATCAATACCATATGGCATATTTTTGGGGAAACGAAACGCTTTCGGGACTTTCCCACGTTTGATGAAGCGTTGGATTTTGACAACAACAAAGCACTTTCAACATTTAAGGAATTCTGTTAATTTTTATTAAGAAATCATACAAGAGCAGAAATCCGAAGCTTCAAACTGCAAACTCGTCAGAAAGAATCCTCCAGCAATCTTATTTATTTTTTGAAGCTGTTAGCTGGTGCACCTGGCAAAGCTTTCGGCCTTCGTCTCTTGCCCGCAAAATATAAGACAAAAATTAAGGATTTTAAGAATACCAGACTAGATATTGCCTGAAGTAAAGGTGAATTCCTCTCGCCCAATAACTTCGCTATGTAAAAGAAAATTAAGAGGCTAGTTCTTTCTTTCTATATTTTTTACTCCGCTTTTTTCATGGAAAAACTTTGATAACAGCGAACAGCAATAACTAACAATGAATTTAAAATATACAGAAATGTTAGGTATTGTTGTCCACGAAAATATGAAACTTGGAGACAATATAGCCTGCGAAAACAGACGTTTCTCCTCGCTCATCGCCGCTGGAGGACATTTCGCGAGGAGGAACGTCTACGACTCAGCGACAGAAATTCCATACTGTTGACGTAAAATTCCGAATCCGGTCATAAGCGCTGATTGGACGTCGGAGTAGTTATGTTGTTCTAGCCATTGTTCAGGAATGACAGACAAAAGACAAAGGGCTACAAAGGTCAAATATAAACCCGATGAATCTATAACAAAACAGTCAATATTTGTGGAATATATTCTTCTCTAGAAGAAGCATTTGAGTTTTGCTGGATCTCGTTCGCAAATGAACACAACACTTTACCAAAATCGATCAGGAGAAACGTTAAATTTGGACAAATTTGCTTTTGGAACCTCATAACTACCAGATTTATTATGTAAACGTTGATGTACGTCATCAATATGGAATTTCTGTCGCTGAGTCGCAGACGTTCCTCCTCGCAAAACGTCCCAAGCGGCGAGGAGCGTTAAGAAACGGCTGTTTTCGCAGGGTAGAGACAATACCCTGAATACTGAGAGGCTCTCGCTTTTAAAAACCAAATTTCAACAAAAAGTTAGCGAATTGTAGCCGTTATTTTACAAAAATATACTTAATAAAATTACAATAATTAGTAAAGTTACAATATATCAATAATCGTGAAACTGAAAGGTCGTATAAGGCGACAGTTATTCACGGGAATCTCAAAAATCTATCGAGCTGTTTCAAAATTATTCGGTTATTTGTTAGGAAGATCAAAACTGTTGTTTACGGACCGTTCATAAGAGCGCCTCGATACGCATCAATCAAATCCTTCTGTCAAGGAATCGGCTGGAGCTATCGTCAATATCTTTCACCGCGTTTTTAAAAAGATTGAAACTACTATGAGATAAGATTGCATTTCAAAAGCGCTTCGTTTTTTACCGAACTCAAGATTGTCCAAGTTTTAACTTATTTGTGTTCATAAAAATTTCATCCCACAATATCTTGATAACGCTCTGATAAATTTCGAACATTAGGCGGCTATTGGAGGTAAAAGCTTCCTTGAACGATTTTGGAAGAACAGTTCCCAGTGCCGAGAAATACGGCTGCAAGTGAAATAGGCAATTTCGTTGCTATAACAACTCCGATGTCATTGGAACCTTGATCATGATAAATTATCATCTCTATCTAATACGGCTGTGTTGGTAATTTTTCCAAATCATTGTTAGTGGCGACGTAGTTTATGGTCAAACTTAAGAGGTATTGACCCTGAAAAACCCCATCGAGCCACCTTAAAAGTGAAATGTTTCACGGCAAGCTGTAAAAAAATGCCCAGACTGTTTCCGTGAGACCATGTACAGTCCTTAATGATAATCCTGACGTTATATACAGCAAAACTGGAGTGACCCATTCAGCCTTGGGGATTGTTTGTCATATGAAAAGCTTTCGTTTTGCGTTTTGCCTTCATTTTAGGTATTTTACATGTATCAATCAAATCAATCAATCAATCAATCATTTATTTTAACACGTTACGTCAAAGAGCCCAAAAAACTCGTTCAAAATACGAACGTGTATAAATAAAATCTATAATAATTACAGCTATATAATATTATTCAATTTTAAAAACAACTCAATAAATATATACATATAAAACACTTGGTAATAAAAACATAAAATATAAAAAGCCAAAAGCGACTAAAAAGTCACATACTAAAAACGTGACTAGGAAAACTATAATAATCGTTCTAAAAACAGTTAAAGGCTACAATCGTGCATTATAAGACACGTTCTAAAAAGCTGCAGTCGTGCAATTTACTTCTGAAGTCATTAGCATCACTTGAAAGACGCACTTGAGAAGGCAAACTGTTCCATAACTTAGTTAATGAATAAGTGAAAGAATTCTTCTTAAATTTAAGATTAAAGTTAGGTAATTCCAAATTCAAGCCCTCGCCTCTTAGCCTATACGGTGTATACCTATATTTAAAAAGGCTTCCAATATAAGTAGGTTCCGTACCATTTAAGCATTTAAAAAGAAGTATTAACGCCTGGTGTAAGCGCCTACAATAAAAGGATTTCATGCTAGCCGTAGTGAGCAGCTCGTCGTATGACATTGACTGGTTGTGCCCGATTAATGTTCTCAAAATATAACAGTTGCCACCTTCGAGACGGTTGCGTTGACCCGTACCTATGCCGGAGGACTGCAGTATTCGAGATGAGGTAATATAATTTAAATGCTATAAAGTTTTATCATTGCATCATGAGGAAGAAAACGCCTTATTTTTCTCACTGCAGAGGCCTTCGCATAGGCTTTCTTTAGTTGATCTGATATGTGTTTTTCTATTACTTTGTAGTAAGCAATTATTTGGGATTTGGGCTAATGGACGCGCTTCAAATGGTCACCTTTGCAAGGAAGTGGAAGAATGTACCGAAACAAATGCATTGTGAAGTGCAAAAATACCTAGGCATCTACGTCAAGTACGTTACTTTTGCTTAATTTAAAATTTGTTCGTTATTATTATTATGCAGAGTTATCAACTGGATGTTGAAAGGTTAAAACGCTACACAGGGCACACAGCGTAACCCGTGTGCCTAGGAGTTAAAAAGAAGTATAACAAAATATATATAATAATTGCACAAAAATCACAAAGGAGCATCTTTAGATTGTTAAAGATTAGTGAAATGTCTCTCACGATTCTCTCATACATGCATATTCTTTGTCGGCGAGTTGATTTGGTAAAAAAAAGCACTCTTCTTGGTATAATCATCTTCATATTCTTTGCATGTGTTCTAAGGCATTGTAGAGTGATGACAGGCTACTATGTGACATTGAAATATCAGGCAAAACCCAGAACTATCGCCTGAAAAGTGTTTGCAACTTTAAAGTGACTCGATTCTAGTTAATTTTGCCTTGCAAACAACATAATTGGACTTCAGGCACTTATTCCATTGAGATCTCAAGTAGGCTCGATTACCAGTCACTGTTCTTAAAATGAGCCCGCGGAAATCAGGCCTAATTATCGAGTAAATCATATGAAAACGTTAATTTTCAGGGGCGTAGCTAGGATTTTCAAAGGGGAGGGGTCACACTGTATCACACCCATGGTACTTACCAGATGGGTATGTTTACATCCTCTTGAACTGATATTTTTTTCGGATGAGTAGTGCCCGTTGGGGGAGGGGGGGGGGGGGCTACAAAACAGCCGGAAAAGATGTATTGCATGTTGATTCTTCGGATTTGCGACTTTTCGCCACCTGAACAATAGGGACATGAAAGCATCATCTCACAAAGGGGGGCGTGGGAGGCAGGGGTGCCCCAGGACCCCCCTGGACCACGCCCTGGACTAGATATTTAATTCATTATACAAACACTGTTCGCTCGGTGCTTCTTTCATAGGCCCCTTACACCTAAAATAGAGATTTTGCCTAACCCCTGCAAGGAACGAATTGGCTTTCTGGAACATGTTCTTGTTAGAGTCAACCTTACAGTTTGGCCTAGAGGAGACTTGCTACTGTCCTTGAAGTCGCCAAATGGAACAGTGTCTCGTCTTACTCAGCACCGGCCGTTCGATAGATTTAAAAGCGTCTCCACTAACCTCACAAACTGGTATATTTTGACTCTTCATCACTGGGGCGAGGATCCAAGAGGAACCTGGGCATTAAAGGCTGATGGCAATTATGGTTAGTAAACAGTGAGCTTTTTTTCTCCTTAGCCGGGGAGACCAAGAAAACAACAATAACCATCCTCGTCCCCAGGGCGCTTTTCCCTGGCTAAAAAAAGCGCCCTGGGGACGAGATTGAACAACAACAACAATAATAATGATAAATAATATTATTGTGAAAGGTTTGAACCCAGGAGTCATTTCAAAAGTAGGTTGACGTTCACCTGGACGATCAAACTCAACCTACTTTTGAATAATATTCTTATTATTCTGATAATAATAATAATTATTATTATAATAATAATGTAAAGGGTTCTTTAAACATAACCAAAAAAGGATCACTATTTTGTTACCTTTTTCAATGCCTGACTGTTTTCAAAACTAAAAGGAAAAAAACAGAAATGCCAGGAGCCTTTAATAGGCTACGCGCCTCTACCTCCAGGAGGGCGGAAAGGAGGGGGGGGGGGGGGGGGGGG